AACTCCTTGGGCGAATACTCGGGAGTGGACGAGGAAGGAGTCGGAGGAGTTTGAAGAGAAGGAGGACGAGGAGGAGGAGGAGGAGAAGGAGGAGACTCTTGTGGTCCTGGGGGCTTCCTGGGTGCCTCTGAGGGGCCTCTGAGGGGCCTCCTGGTGCCACCAGGGGTCTTCCTGGGGCCTCTTGGAGGCCTCCTGCAGGCCTTTGGGGGCTTCCAAGCGACCACTTGACCTTCAGAGGCCGTCTTGGAGTCCTCTCTGGGGAGCCGTGGGTCCCTCTTCTGGCGCTGTATGACCGTCTTGGAGTTTTTTGGGCCCTGAGCTTCAGAGAACTTCGTGGTGCGGGCCCTTGAGAACCTCACGAAGCCTCGATCGAACTTTCAGAACTGCAGAAACCTTGGAGCACTCCTTTACGTGTTCAAGACACGATGGCGGATTTGTCCGACCTGGTGGTCAGATTTGAGGAGCGATGCGATCAAAGCGATCGTCGTCTTCGTCCTCTGATCTCCCCATGCAGAGCGTGCATCTGGTGCATCTGGGGATTCTTTTTTTCTCTCGTGTTCTAAGGGGCTGGCCCCTCTTGTCGGAGTCGAGCGTCCCCCGTGCGTGCTCTATGGCCGTTCCCGCTCCGCACTCCATGGCTAGAGCGCCGTTCTGCATCTGGTTGTCGCAGTCGCCCGTTCCTCGTCAGTGCCCTATCGCCGTGTCGCTCACTGCACTGTGCGCTGGTTTTCGAAGCTTGCCCTGCTTGTGGCGATCATCCGCTCGCGCTCCCGGCTTCGTGGCTTGCGCCCAGTGCTCTGCCCTGCTTGTCGCGGTGGGCCGTTCTCGGCCGGTGCTCTGTGGCTGTCTGCGCTCGGTGCCCTGCGGCAAGTCCTGCCACCGTGCCAGCCCAGCACCTTGGGTTGCGACTGTTCGGGGGGGCGCGCAGGAGGCCGCAGCGTGTGACACCTCGAGTCCCGAGGTTTGGGAGAGCCCTTGATATGCGACACACTCTTCCGCGTCGTGTCGGGGTTATCTCGTCCTCTCCGCCCTTTCTTCCGTATTTTCTTGGGCTTCTGTGGGGCTGTCTGTGGGGTCCTTTGGGCCACTATGGGGCGTCTCTGGGCTTTCTTGGGCCTTTGTGGGGCCTTCTTCGCCGTCTGGGATGTTTCTTACGGCCGTCTTTGGACCGTCGTTGGGCCGTCTTGGGCTGTCGAGGAGTTCTCTGAGGCCGTATGGGATCGCTCTGGAGGCTTTCTTGGGCCAGCTTGGAGCTTTCTTGGGGGTGTCCCGGGCCGTCCAGGGCCCCTATTGGGCTGTCTTCAGACCGTCTTGGGGGGTTGTTGTGCCAGGTGGGTGCCCTCATAGGCCGTCTTAGGACCATCTTTGAAGCCTGTAGGGCCCTCAGGAGCTGCAGGAAACCCTAAAAGACGGATATGCCCAAGTCTCTGAAACGACCAAAGACAAGGTCACTGTTTTTTGGCTCTTCGGGCCCTGCTGAGGGTCCTTTTGTGGCCCTCTTGAGCCGTCTTGTGAGCCTTTTTGGCCGTCTTGAGGCTATCTTGGGCCACCTTGGGGCCATCTTGGCCCATCTTGGAGGCATGTCGGGCCTTCTTGGCGGCCTCGGTTGCCTGCCTCGGCTGTCTTGGAAAGTCAGGAGCGCGGATCAACATTTTCGATGTTGTTGCGAGGGATCGTGTATTCGGAAGTGCGGACCCATCGTTCTTCCCCAAGTAGGCTTTGCCGATGGGTTTCTGACTTGATTTTGACAAGCCAGTGGGAGTCTCAAGAGTCCTTGATACTGTTTGCTTACAGTTGCGTTGCTCAGAGGTTCTTTGGTTCTGTAACCTTGCGGTAGCGTTGCCCCGGATTCCTTGACCTGTTCTCTTCCAGTGGCGTTCTTCGGGTGGATGGGTTTTGTGTGCTTAAGGTGGCGTTTAAGCCCTGCGCTGGCTGGCGTAACGCCATGCAACGCCAAGCAACGCCAAACAATGCCAAGCCACTCCAAGCAATGCCAAGCAATGCCAAGCAATGCCAAGCAACCCCAAAGCAATGCCAGCCAACGCTAAGCACCGTTAAACAATGCCAAGTAAGGCCAAGCACCGCTAAGCAACGTTAAGCACCGCTAAACACCGCCAAGTCATGCCAAGCAGTGCCAAGCAGTGCCAAGCAACGCCAAGCAACGCCAAGGAATGACAATCAATGCAATGCCAAGCCATTCCAAATCATACAAAGCATTGCCAAGCAGCCCCAAGCAATGCGAGCAATGCACCCATGCAGTAGGACGCTTTCCCTAATTGGGGTCGTGCCGGGCTCATCTTACAAGGGAGAGGGGTGGTGGTGCGTGCAGCGAATATCATCTTCCGTTCTCCTCCCCTCTTCGCCCATCCTTCCCCCTTCCACTCCTAGTCCAACTCTCCTTCCTTGTCCAATTCCCACTGAGTTCCGAATCGGGCTTCGACTCCTACGCGCGAGGCCTGTGCGCAGACAGGACTGCCACGACAGCTTATGGCAAGATTTCGGCGCTCGGGCCCTCCCGCTTGCTACCATGGGGGGGATTCTCCACACCAGCTCCGACTCCAGCTCAGAATCCGACTCCTGCATGCTGGCCCGATGCTGGCTCCGACTCCAACTCCGACTGTAAACACAGGTCGGCCATTCATGCCTTGCTCCAGGCCACAATTTATTCGATTGGCTCCAGCCGACTCCTGATATTTTCGTTACGACTCCGGCTCCTTCCCCCGGAACATCTTTTACATAACGGGCATTGTTTGTTTCGTTGATCTTTGGCTGTGACACTTGTCTTCCTGAATTCGGAGAGCGCGTCCTCTTCTGCTACGGACACGTCTTTCAGCTTCTGTTATACATCCGATGTTTGTTCCGATCTCTCCGACTGGCTCCAACCAGTTCGACTCCTGACTCGGGTCCCGGCCCGCCCGAGCTGCCCTCGTAGGGCGGGTCCGTCGGACCGACGATGCGCGCTCCGCTACCCTCCGGTCCCAGGGAGGACAAGGCCGAGGCGGATGATGAGGCGAAGGAGGAGTAGGGGGCCCCGACGAGGACAATAAGGACGGGAGGCGCCGCATGAGGAGGGAGGGGGATGATCATGTGGAGCATGGCGAGAAGGAGGATCATCAGCAGCAGTGTGAGAAGAAAGGAATGCGATGGCAAGGCTGATGATGATGAGGAGGAATGGGCGACGACGGCGACGGCGACGGCACCGACGACGATGGCGCCGACGACGATGGCACCGCCGACGACGCTGCCAACGACAACGGCGACGGACGATGCCGACGGCCGATGTCGACGCCGAAGCCGATGCCGCCGACGCCGACGCCGATGACGCCGATGCCGATGCCGATGCCCATAACGATGATTATGATAATGATGAAGTTGCTGATGATGATGAGGAGGGTGATGATGAGGCTGAGGATGATGAGGATGATACTGCTGATGATGATGACGATGTTGACGATGATGATGATGATGCTGATAATGATGTCGTTGATGATCCTGAAGATGAGGATTATGATGATGACTACGACGATGATGATGCTGGTGATGATGCTGATGCTGATTATGATGATGATGATGGTGATGCCGATTCTGATGATGGTGATGACGATGATGGTGGTGGTGAATATGATACCAATGGTGATGCTGATGGTGATGGTGATGCTGATGCTGATGATGCTGACGATGATGTTGATGCTGCTTCTGCTGATGATGATGCTGATGATGATGCTTTTTGGGCTGATCACCATGATTTTGATGATGACGATGGCGGTGGTGATATGCAGATGGTGATGATGATGGAGATGATGACGATTATGATGATAGTGATTCTGAGGTAGATGATGATGTCAATGACCATGCTGCTGACGATAATGTTGACGCGACTGATGACGATGATGCCGATGATGATGATGATGGTGATGACGCTGATGATTATGATGATGATGATGACGCCGATGACGATGACGATGGTGATGATATTGATAGATGATGATGATGCTCATGCTGATGCTGTTGGCGATGACGATGACGATACGTCGACGAAGACGACGATGATGATGACGATGATGATGGTTCTGATGATGCTGATTCTGCTGATGATGATGCTGATGCTGATGATGATGCTGCTGCTGCTGTTGCTGTTGCGACGATTATGATGCTGATGAGGTTGAGGCTGCCGATTCTGATGATGCTGATGACGATGCTGTTGCGGCTGTTGTTGCTGCTGTTGCTCATTCTGATGCTGCTGACGATGAGGATGCTGACGATGATGCTGATGATTATGATGCTGATGATGATGCTGACGCTGATGCTGATGACGATGCTATCGATGGTGTTTGTGTTGGTGGCTGTGGTGGTGGTGATGCTGGTGGGGGGCACTAAGATGATGATGGTGATGAAGATGATGCTGGTGATGCTGATGATGATGCTAATTCTGACGACGACAGTAGCGCTGTTGCTGCGGGTGAGGATGAAGCCGATGCCGATACAATGACAAACATGTCGATGCCGATGACGACGGTGTTGCTGCTGCTGATGATCCTGATGATGCTGATGATACTGCTTTTGTTGTTTTGTTGATGATGATGCTGCGTATGCCGACGATGATGATATTTGGACGTGGATGGCGATGGTGATGCTGACGATGATGATTGTGGTGGTGATGGCTGTGAGGAGGATGATGAGGAGGAGGAGGATTGTGGAATGAGGGTCGGATCCTCGAAGCTGGGTAGGGGATGCATGATGTGCGTGATTGCATGCAGATAGCTAGGCTGGTGATGACAACGATGCTCATGGTGATCACGCCGATGACGAAGACGGTGCTGATGATGATCATGTTGAGGAGGATGATAATGACGACCAGGAGAAGGATGGTGAAGCAGATAATGGGAATCGCAGCAGTAACATTCGCCACCAGCGTGGCACGTGCAACCGCGCGCGCGCGTCCCCCCCTCCACCCCCCCGCGAGCGAGGCGCAGGGGCCACCCATGGCGAACTGCCTGTGC